TTTTTTACCCCATAGTTACTTTGTCAAAAATTGGGGGGGGGGGGGGGAGGGGCAACTTACCCCGGGGTCCAACTAACCCCGGTCTCCCCTATTGACCAACGAACATTCCGGTGGGTGTTATATAAAGAGGTTGGGATGATCCCTCCCTTCAATAAAGATATTACTAGGAAAGCTTGGAGTGGACCGAACAGCCGAAAACACATTAATTTAAAAACCTAACAGGCACACCAAAGCAAACCCGGTTAACGATATCCCTTTATAAACCTTTTTTTGTATGTGTGATAGAAAGCACATTTAGTTCTGGACTTACTCGTGCCACGATTAGACTAGCTAGATGTACAATATTCAGAGTACTGAGATACACACAAGCTATTATCCATGCCACCTGTTTGGTATATAACCGATATGAAGATAGCGTTAATATTGTATGGGTAGACGACGTCGGTTGACAGCATTAATATCATGTACGAGTACTTACCACCCATATATATATATATATATATATATATATATATATATATATATATATCACCGTTACTTTTTCTTTGACGCCCATTTTCTAAATTTGTGGCATTTAAACGTGCAGTGTAGCACATTCAGGGTGCTGTTGTCTCAACACACTTGTCCTTTTCCTCTCATTTAACCAGTACAGCTTACCTGCGCAAAACACCTGACTTATGACTAGCAAAATGACAGCCTCTAACAACATTGGTATATGCCAAAATCCTTTGCTCCTGTTGGAAGCAGCCATCGCTTCGAGGTTATCTTGTACCAAGACAATTTCTCATTGATTTCTTTAACACGCAGTTGAAGTTCGAAATGACCTGGACCTCTTAATCAACTGTTGCTTATACAGCTCATACGGCTATATACATATACAAGTATCAGTGTGTGTTGCTATCAAGGTGACCCAGTTTTAACGTGAAACCGTGCATTTAACACGATGGTTATAATTCGCCATCCGGCTTGATTTCCATCTCGCGATGATCTGGAGTCTTGTACAATGAACACTGTATGTATTCGTTGTATGACACCAAAGACCGGGAGTTGGCACCTTATGCACGTTCTTTCTTTTAACACCCAAAGCAACTGGAATTCAAGTAGGCGTAAAAAGTGGGTGGATTTAGGTAGAGGCTACCCCCAGAGCTTCTCAGTCTGGATAATCGTTATTGCTGGCGGCGTGTAAATTGTGTCGGCAGCAGGATTAAAGTAAGGACATTAGGGGCGTGCAACAATGTGCTTATACCTTTTTTCTCAGTATTTTATTTATTTATTCATTTTTTTAGCTTTGGAAATTATCTATCGATATATAAATCAGAAGCGAGAAAACTTTAATACATACAATATGTAGCTCGTAAAAATTTTAAAATCGATGATGTATTTTTACAAATGTATTAAACGGTTTTAATATACATGTGTAATATATATATATATAATACCGGTTCATGTATAATATATATATATATTGACTGCATAGCAGGTGTTTTTTCCCTTGTCACGTGCACCCTATACCATCTTATCATTGTAAAGTTACAGTGGAGGCATGATAAAACTTTATTTCTCAATGACCTATTGGAAGGACAGGTACATCCTATGTTATTTTGAAAATAAATGGAAAAAATTTAGACAGATTCGTAAATAAGGAAGTTTGCAGCATTAAGTAGACGAATCTGATTGGTTGGAATTCAGGTAGATGGTTGCTGTATCTACAACAGGTTGTTCGTTTTGCAGGGACGTAGTTACATGTAGCTCTAAATTCCACACCACACCTGTAATGAGAGAATATAAGCCTTCCGCCGGAAATTACAGTGGTCTAACCACGGCTATTACTTATGAGTATGCCCATAGCACATTATTGGCTCAACATCAGAACACTTCTGTGTGAATTAGAGTTGCCAAAGATTAACAATATCCTGTAATTAACAATACACGTAAATTTGATATGAAAAGTTACACCAGTTACAACAGGCGCCTAAGCATGGATGAAACGGTAATCAAAACATATGAACACAGGCAAGGAAAAATGCTTTTAATTTGTGTGAATTTTTCATATGATTTTCCATATTTTCTATAATTTAATTGTGCATTTCAATTTTTAAGGTAAAGAGTGCAAACACACACAAATTGATTAAAGCAATAACAATAATGATGAAGATGAAGATGAAATAAATAAGTGAATGAATAGAAGGATAAATAAAGAAAACATAATAAAAATAAAAAGTAAAAACAGCTTTAGATATTCAGCATCTTTCTCTTTTCCATTTGTGAACACATATCACAAGTAAATAAAAGATGTCATGACATTCAGCAGCAAAAATGTTGACATAATACAAGAAATATATTATCTTTTTCAATAAAAATACACTTGCGAACCTCTTTTATTTCGTACAGTGCGAGCAGAATGGCCGATTTTGAGTGTTCCGTTTCTCGGCTGCTACTTGCAGGTGTCTTTCAAAGGCAAATTTTTATGTTAGATGAGATATTTTTGCAAAAAGCACACTATGTAATGTTAGGCAACCTTTGCCAAAGCGTAAATATAACCTATTAAATTTACTTTAATAGTATTTAAGATAGCAGAAATAAAAGTGAAGCATTATTATGAAAAAAATATTGAGAATGATATGATTCTCATTCTTGGGAGCATAGATAAAGGTGTTAGCTACACTGTGAAGTATCTGGCCTCAAGGCTGTTTTAGGTGATATTATCACGAATACAAAGCCCTTCTTTCTAATTTTCACTTACTAGTAATTATCCTAGATTTTGCTTCCTATGCCGATTGCATAACACGTACAACGATCACGTTTCTTATTTTATTAACATTTTGGTATGACTGAAGACCTTTACCAAGTAGGGTGGGTATATTTTGGGAAAAAAGTAAAAAGCTAACAAGCGATTACACTAAATTTGAACTGTTGTACATTGGCCATTGTGTTTGTTTTTCTTTCTAATCACTGAAGCGTGTACGAAGTTTCTGTCAACGCTATGGTCCCTCTATCTGGTGTGAGCATGTCGGCAATTGCTGGATAACAATTTGCTGAAGGAGGTTCTTAACTTTCCAGACGACCAAATGTAGATGATTAGATTCAATGCTGAATGGAAATGCATCAGTGATGTCACAAGCAGAACAAGAGAACAAGATAACCAATGCTGGTAGTAAAACCGAGAAAAATTAAAGGGATGTAATTTAAGAAGAACATCGTTGTCAGAATCAGTGCTATTTTTAAAGTCAAAATGTCTGCTTTTGTATTGCGACCGAAGCCGTAAGGACAGTGGTCGTGTTATGGGCTGCCCCAGCAACGCCTTGGTTTGTCTCACTATGTTCTTTGTAAAACATATGATAAAACGTGTAAATGGTGTCTTTTTTTCTTCAAAAGGTATGTCATTTGACAGGGAAACATCACGCTGTGGTTGTCGCACTTTTGTTGGTGTCAGTTGGCACTATAGCTATAGATCTACGGGAGCGCAAAGAGCAAAATATCACTTTGTAGAATGTCATGCTGACCACAAAACTGATTACGGCAGCAATGAAGACTAAAAGCCAAGTTTTCTCATTTTCTGTCTCCCTAAATTCCTAGTGTTTTTGTTCTTCAAAAGGTATGCCGTATGGCAGGGCAGACTTGCTTTCTAACCTGTATATGGAGCTTTCTTTTTTCAAATTATCGGCCATATTAGAAATTAGGAAGGCAATAAAGTTAAAAGATTTTACTATTTATGCGTGGTTGTTATGGCTCTGTTCATTCCAGAAAAAAATTCCCCTCCCACCCTGTGGCCTGACGTACCAACTACCACATCTGTGGGAGCGGGCCCTAGGAGACATCCTGCGCAGACTGTCACCACGTGACACTTTCACAACTGAAAATCGCTTCGCCTGAAGAAGGTCTAGTTATTCATGTATTCACCTGGGCCCCTTATCTCGAAAGCATCGCGCATTGCGATCGAGTTCAAGCGTCTCGATTCCATAACTCGCTCATACTCGCCCCATATAATAGCCTCGAAATAAAAGGTGATATCGCTATTCTCAATTCGCGATGCTTTCGAGTTACGGAGCCCTGAATAGCCTCATTCCCTGAGGAAGATGTTCTGTCAGACAACAAAATATTGGACGTAAATCTATTTAAATATTAAGCTGTTGAGTGAAGAAAAATTACTTCATTCATATAACATAACACAGCTGATGAAATTCTTCTCGAACTTGTATTTCGTTCTTTTGGTTGATAACCACATCTTTGACGCAAATTTCTTCCCATAACATTTGAATATCGGGGGGTGATAATTGAACATCAATATATGTATACAAGGAATACAAGCAATATCACGGTGATAATCCTGCTTGAATTAGAGTTGCCAAGGATTATCAATAATCTGTAATAAACAGCACACGTACACTTGATATGAAAAATTACACGTGCTTACAGGTGCCCAAGCTTAGATTAAATACTCATGAAACTTTTCATATGATTTTTCTTTGTTTCCCCTAATTTATTTGTGCCTTTCAGTTTTTAAAGTAAAATTGTCCACACACACACACACACACACAAATTGATAAAAGAAATATCAACAATTATGATACAGATAAAAGATGGACATGAATAAGTGAATGAATAGATGAATAATACAAAAAGATAATTCATAAAAATGAAATATATAATAGCTTTATTTTAGATATTTAACAACTTTCTTCTTCCCATTTATGACCAAACATATCACATATAACCAAAAATGTAGGTTTTAAGCACCATTGTTGGCATACATCATCTTAATATAATCTTTTTGAATAAAAATAAATTTACAAACCTCTTCTATTTCCTAGGAGCAAGAAGAATGGTCATTCTTGAATATGTTCCGTTCCTCGTACTGGCAGGTGTCTTTTAAATGCAAACATTTTATGTTAAATGAGTAATTCTTGCAAAGAAGACACTATGTAATGTTAGGCAATGTTTGCCAAAGTATAAATATAACCTATCAGTTTTAATGGCATATCAAACAAAAGGAGTAAATGTCAAGATGATTATGAAATAATTAAAGAGAATTCTATTATTCTCATTCTAGGAGCTGAAATGGAGCTGTTTGTTCCACTGTTAAGTATCTGACCTCAAGGTGGATTCAGGTGACGTTACCGCGATTACATAGGCTTTTTTTAGAATTCTCACTTAATTATTGTAGATTTTTTCTTGTTTTAACTATGCCTTATATACAACAATACAAGTACAAAATACACGACGTTTCTTATTTATTAAAAATGGGTGAATCAAAGTTTTGGCATTACTGCAGACTTTTTGCCAGTAGACCTAGTTGTGGGTGGTATTTCAAAAAATTTTAAGTAAACACGTGATTACCTTACAGTAAGACTGAACTGTTTTACATCGGTCATTGGGTTTTTCTTTATTATCAGTGAAACGTGGGATGGTTCTGTCAACGCTATGGTCCCTCTATCCGTTGTGGGGATGTCGGCAATTGTTGGATAACAATTTGCTGAAAGAGGCTCTGAACTTTCCAGACGACCAAAAGTAAATAATTGGATTCATTGCGGAATGAAAATACATCAGTGCCGTGACAAAAGGATAGAGATAACCACTACTGGTAGTAAAACCGAGAAAAAACGAAGGGGTGTAATTTACAAAGAACATCGTTGTCAGAATCAGTGCTGTTTTTAAAGTCAAAATGTCCGCTTTTTGTATTGCAGTTGACGCCGTAAGGACAGTGGTCGTGTTATGGGCTGCCCCAGCAACGCCTTGGGTAGTCTCACTGTTGTTCGTGTCAGTTGGTGGTATTCCTATAGAACTGCGGGAGCGCAAAGAGCAAAATATCACTGTGTAGAATGCAATGCTGACCACAAAACTCATGACTGCAGCAATAAAGACTAAAAGCCAAGTTTTTGCATGTTCTGTCTCACTACGTTCTTTGTGAAACAAATGATAAAAGT